TCTAACTCTTTAAATATTTTGTGATATGCTGATGAATTGAATTTAATGGTTTAAGTGTAAAGAACATGATATTTAATAAATAAAGGTAACACAAAAAGCATTCAAAAACACCCTTTTGGGTGTAATATAAAACCTGAAAGTTTTCAGATTTTTTTTCCCCCTGATGCAAATTTTATGGTGATCTCTTTGAAAATAGATTTAAAATAGTTGTTTTCTTCAGCAATTTTACAGCAAAATACTATCCATATTCCTGCAAAAATTTTATCGCAATTTCTTCTAATACACCCACCCAAGTCCTAAAATTTGCCAATAAAACCTGTTGAAGCTTGAAAGAGAACAAAATGTACATTAAAATGGCAATATTACTTGTTAAAAACTGAAGAATTGCTATGCATATGGTTACCAAAGTTTGACACATTATGAATATTTGGCAACCTACTCCAAAAAATATAGAAATACAGATAATGTTTTGATTTCTTTTCTTATTTGAATGCCACCCTGAAATCACTTTGTTATGTTGCATATTTAAAATGTTGCTCACTTTATATCCATTCTTACATAATTTTAAACATACCATTTGCGTATAATAATGCTACTAACCAATACCTGGTTGACAAATCAGTTTCAGTAACTACTGCTGTTCAGAAGATTATCGTTGAAACACATTTTATTGCTTATTGTTAATAATGATTCAGAAATTTGCATTTAAGCAGCAAAATCTGAAAATGAGAATAATTGGAGTCTAGTCTCAAAATTAGGAAGGAGCATCCAGATGGGAGAAGGTGGGCCGATAGAACAGCAAACAACCAATATCTTTTTCAGCAAAGAGCAGACTTCCTAGCTGCTTTAAAGCAATTACACACAGCAGTTTTTAAAAATAAGGATATATCAAAACCTTTTCTTTTTGTGGATCATGAAACACCAGCAAAGTTCTAAATTCCTAGATTTTGTAGGCTTAAAGAGTTTGATTGCTTAGATTCTTGCACTTAGATTGTTCACCCACAAAGCATTAAATTCCTTCCCAGATCTTGTGGATTCAAGATGTTTTTCAAAATAGGATTCTAGAAAAACAGTTATATATTTGACCTTTTTTTCATTGGTATTTCGTTGATTAATGCTGTCATCAACGAAATGTTTGTTGATTAATGCCAAAAGTAAACAAATAAAATAACAGCAGCATTAATATCAACCTTTAATTAATACACTTTTAACCTTAAAATAAATTACAGATGACATTACTTGCCTTCATAGCCAACAGATAATTTTCTTGAGTCTTTAAACCTGATAAATAATAAAGATATTATGTATAATATTGGTCTTGGGAGAGTATTTAAAAGAATTTCATTTTGACATTCAAGAAAAAGATTTTACAATATCTGACAACAATCAGAGTACAAACAATGAAGAGTTAACAGAGAATAGAATGTCATGCACTTCTTAAAGATCATTGCAAGGAACAGGTATTTACACAGGCTATTAGATTATTGCATTGATGGTGATGGCAGTGTTTTATGGAGCATAACCTGCCTGGTCATGATGCACTAAGCATATGGAGCTATAAAACTAATGAATTACTACCAAGATCATTAAGTTCAGGGGAAGGAAACATATTCTGAAGGTAAAGTAACATAATAGCAAGCTAACTAGGTTTGCACAATTTGCTCTGGAACTGATTCAAAAAGCCAATTCCTTTTACTGAAGAAACGAACAGTTGATTCCAGAAAACGAAACAGCAGCTCTTTTAAAGTTCACAATTTTTCTTTATTGGAATCATGCCGGGAATAGTGATGTCCTATTCGTTCATGTGCTGACTCATTTCGCTGAAAAAGCAAATGCTTGATCTGCCAAAAAAAGAGCAGAGCTTTTATTGGAAGCATGCTAGAAAAGTTTATTCTCAATTTATGAGAGAAACAAATATTTATTCTCCCATACTAAAAGTGAGTTTTTCATCATTTCCTAACCTTCTGAAAAATTTTCTAGAATTTTATTGGTTAGTTCTATGCACAAAAGGAGATTTTAGGGAATCTCAAAGTTAAAAGAAATCAGTATTTGACCGAGTCAAATCTTCCAGTCCCACTCCTTGTTCTATTCTCTTTCCTCCATTCTCAGCAACTGTTACTGATTCTTGCCTTATACCTGATGGCTTTCATCAAGGATGCCATCAGTGAGTGGTGAGTAATAAAAAGGAACTGATTCAGTTTAGTGAACAAACAATTGTGATCTGATGCTCTAAAAGAGCTATTTTATCTACCTCTGCTAAGTAAATTTTATGCAGTGGAATTCATAAAAAATAAAATACTTCTTAAAGTTAAAAATTAAAGCTGCACATAAAAATAAATAAATTTGCTGTTTGTTTTGTTATAATAAATTTGTTGAATGTGTCTTATTACATGCGATATTTTACATAAAAATATATGAATTTGCATGCACTTATATTAAAAGTTTAATTCCTAAATCACTTTTCTTACAGTTACACACAATACAGATACATTGAGCAAACATTATATCACACACATCATGTTAGTTACTATTTCATATTTGCTTTCTTCTGGTAGCTAAATAGCACCAAATGTTCAATTAATTTAAAGCACTCAAAATATAATGTTACAAAAGTTATCCAATTATTTATTTTGATTACAGCAAAGCACTCGAAGGCTATCTATATAAGGAGAGGGGATACCTTTGTGGAGGACTTCCTAAGGGAAACTGGCTCGCATATGTATTACACGTGGAGAAAATCATGAAAACAACCACACAGCCAGCCCATTTACCAAGATCCGAATTCTCGCCCAAACTACCAATTTAGGGACTTGACTGCTTGTAGGCCGAACATTAGAAAATCAATACAGTCAAAAGTCGTTAATCCGGACTCGTCGGGACTTTGGCGATTCCGGATTATAGATCATCAGTTTAAATCTGGTAAGATCGCATGCAGAAATTATAAAATTAAAAATATGAAACCGTAATTTATGAAATAAAGAACAATTATGATCTAAAGGGTATCAAAATTTACAAAACAAAAAAAAAAAAAAAAAAAAAAAAAAAAAAAAAAAAAAAAGGGGCTTAACATTTATTTGTTTACTTTATTAAACATTTTGGCTAATCTTTGGAATATGGTAACAGGTAGTTTGGCGACATTTTGGTAAGGCGATAAAGGTTACTAGCTAGGATTTTAGCAGTGTACATGGATAAAGTCAAGAGTGTGCGTAATGCCCTTTTTGTGCAATTCTAGGATGTTTTTTTAAGTGAAAATAGGTCGACGTGTACATGAATGATATCGTGTATGTGCAATTCTTAAAAACGCGGCAAGCAGTTTGCGATTCTGCACTTTCTCCCAATTTCGCACCTAATCTTCGTCATGATTAAGCACTTTTGTTCCATAAAAGTTCTAGCATAAGCGTAATTCGGCTAGCAGATTGTTGAAAAAAATATTGGGTAAAAAAAAAAAAAAAGCCTTTACTTTGTTGAAACAAAATGGCGTCCAAACAAAAACTAGCACGTTGCTGTAGCAGGGTTGGTCTCCAAATTTACGCCAAAAATTCGCGAAGTTACCATATTCCAAAGAAAGTGAAAATAAGTGAAAATAGGTCGACCTGTACATGAATGATATCGTGTATGTGCAATTCTTAAAAACGCGGCAAGCAGTTTGCGATTCTGCACTTTCTCCCAATTTCGCACCTAATCTTCGTCATGATTAAGCACTTTTGTTCCATAAAAGTTCTAGCATAAGCGTAATTCGGCAAGCAGATTGTTGAAAAAAATATTGGGTAAAAAAAAAAAAAAAAGCCTTTACTTTGTTGAAACAAAATGGCGTCCAAACAAAAACTAGCAGGTTGCTGTAGCAGGGTTGGTCTCCAAATTTACGCCAAAAATTCGCAAAGTTACCATATTCCAAAGATTAACCAACATTTTTTTCAATGTAAGTTGTTTAAGTTGCTTCGTTTTTTGTGATAATACTTTCTCTTTAATTCTATAAACAGACATAATTTCTTGTTCAGTTACAAAGTTCCGTTGTTCAAGTCCTATAATTGCTGTGTCGAGAATACTGACTAATTTGTCAATCGAAACTTTTTCGTTTTCAATAACCTCTGTGTCACTTTCTTCACTATCGGAAGTGAATTATAATGACGAGGAATTTGATTTAAATCATATCAAAGACGGAGTACATCGAGATGAAATACTACATTTAGTAAGGAATTATAAGCCAAATAAAATAAAAACATCTGCGCTGAAGATAAGGATAGTGCTGACAGATCAACTTCCAATTCATTGCGCGCCTCGGCGTCCTTCCTCCCCTTGCCGCAGAGCGGCGTGAAATTGATAAATAGATTTCGGAATGGTTAGATAAACAAAGAATATGCCTTTATTCATTTTTTGCAGCAATTCCACTTTTTGTTTAATGGACTTCGAAACATACTTTCGCTTTGTAGATCCTTTACATGTTAGTAAATATATATCAGAAATTCTATTTGACATAATCGAAAGTTCAAGCTTACTTTTATAAAATTGCTCTAACAGTCTGCAAAAAATAATAAGCCGGATCCAATTCGAAGATTAAGGAACAACACAACCTGCAACATTAACTGAATTAGATAATTTTAGCTTAGCTTATAACATCCATTATACATTAAATGCGCATCCGTAAACGTATTTTGTGCATGTGGACACGCATATTCGCAGCCGTAAAGGTCTTATGCGCATTCGTCAACACGACACATGTGCAGAAAGTTTGTAGCTTTGAGGTCCGGATTATAGATCATTCCGGATTATGGGTGTCTAAATTAACGACTTTTGACTGTAGTTTAGAGGTACATATAGTCTTCAGTAACACACAGTTGTATCATTATGAAAGAACATTAAATTTTTCAAATAGCATTTATCAATTAATTACTAAACATTATCAGAAAATTAACAGTATTACCATGATAGTAAATAAATAATATTAGAAAAATCCAACTGTTCATTTCAATGTAAATGAACAGACAGAAATAATTACTTACATCATTCGTTTTATTTCTTGAAAAAGTAGCAAATACTGAAGGGGAACAAGAATGAAAATAAAGAGATTCGGCTTTCACATCAAAAGGATTTTTAGGAACTGCTGGCGACTGAGTTTTTAGTTTTTCTTGATCCATTTCTTCTAGTTTCATGAGTGGGGAAGCATAATTTTGTGATGCCCATCCTCTTTTTGGAGTGTTATCAAATGTTAAAACATTACTGGCAGGAGTAGCAGGACTTTTTCTAAATTGCTTCTTATTCTCCATGTGATTCAACAGCCTAAAAATATGCATACATTTTCAGCACAGTAATACAATACGTATTTTAAACTTTACTGCAATTGCTTGATTTGTATAAGCAGTTGTACTAAATAAACAGATGTTAAGAAATAAGACTGCATCAGTAAATATCTAAAATGGAAATACATAAGTAAATCCTGGTACTCTTCTGTTATCAAAACCGTATTCAGAAATGTATGTATGTTATGTACACGCATATATGTGTGTGTGTGCACATATACATACATTTCTGAATCCAGTTCTGATAACACACATAATACATTTCTGAATCCAGTTCTGATAACACACATAATACATTTCTGAATCCAGTTCCGATAACAAGAGTGTACCTAAATCTTTCCTGAATAACAGTATTTGCTTCGTTAGAAAAATTTAGGTTCTACAAGGGTGACTGCTGCTCTGTTTTCAAAAATCCTGAAAATTACTGTGGAGTAAAAATTCAATATCATTCCAGACAATTAGCACTATTAATAAGCTACACGTATATATTTGTAAAAAATTTCATTAGCAAAACAAAAAATGTAATATTTTGAAACTTTTTAAATGTTAATTTATGCTTTGTTGTATTATTACTGTTTTGATTTATTAATATTAAAAAAAATTAACTTTCTTTGAGATAAGGATTAAGTTCTTGCTTTTTCCACATTTATATTTTTCTTTGCTAACAGCTGAAAGTTCACCATAATCTACAAGACATTTTAATAAATTATTCCTAATATTTTTACTAATAAGTACAGAATTTTCTGATGCAAAAACTTATTTTTGTTTAATAAGTAATATTTCTCAGTGCTCAAAATATCTATGCTATCAATGTCCAAGGATGTTCTTTCAAGGATTTCTGTCATAATATGATCCATATAAATAAATGCACTTTTAACAGTAGGTTCCTAGGAAATAAGTTAAAATAGATACAATCAGTTTTAGTAGTAGAGTAATTCTGGTTTTCCATTTTCTTTTAGTCTGATTTCAGTCCAAAACCTCACCATATCAGAATTTTTTGTTAATGTATGAGATAAGTGACTATCCATTTGATAGTTTCTTACTTCTAGCAAATTTTTCTAACTTCTGAAATATAGTTTAAGATATCTGTTAATTTCATCAGAGCAATGAAAGTAATTATTTTGCCAAACAGATTTTGTTGTCATTATTATTTTAAATTAAAAATGTGGCTATTGTCAATCAACTGCAAATTTCTTGAAGCATGAAGTATGTATGTTTGATCGTATTTATTTACTCTTAACCATATTTCCATGTTCAAAGATGATTAGCCAATACACAAATTTTAGTTATATAAGCATAAATCTCATTAAATAAAGTTTGCTAGAGTTCTCGAGTAGAAAATATTTGCTTTCCTAAGCCATAATATATTCATTTGTTAGTGAACACAAATTCTTTCTAAATTTAAAATGTGTCATAGGGCAGTACGATAAAGCAGAAAATATGTGTATAAGAAAAAGTTCATAATGATACTTCAAATTCTGTACTTCGTGAAATGGCTCAACTGTTTAGGTTAAAATTTATTATGTAAAAATCCTTTATAAATCTTTGAATACTGCAAAACAAACTACCACTGATTTTTTGCATACTTTGAAAAATTTTAACCATTTATTTTCTTTTATTTTTGCTTCAATCATAAACTTATCTTAATTACCAGAAGTTATCATAAGACTTTTTTTTCCTACTAATCTAAAATAATTTATAGGAGTACGTTACTTTATATCTTATATTTACAGGTAACGGAGCTTAAATTGCACCAGAGCCCACTAAACTCCGGTACTTCTCAGTTTTCAATATAATCATAATCTTAAAATTGATTTTTTATCTTCCAGACTAAAACTAAAAATTAATCTTGCAAACAGAACATGAACTTTACAATTATCTACGAGTTAACTACAGTTTAATATTGAACATTATTCATTAATTTAAATTTACACGGGCTGCTGGTATCCATAATCGTCATATAACTCAAGGATCAAAATAGCACTTTTTACAGTTACAAACTATTCAGTTGCTCTGATTGTATTGCATTATAAAATGTTGCATATAGACTTTCTACCCTTATTTTTAATTGTACATGATTTTTAATTCCGATGATGAAAAGTAAGAAGAATGGTATCCCTTAGAATGTTTACAATGTCTGGAAATACCGGATGGCCATAATGGGTAGAGTAGACTTTAAGGTACCCCTTGTATTATGGCAAAGTTGTTATTTCATTTATCGCCAAGCTGTTGTTTCATTTATGGGTAGCCTGAGTAGTTGAATGTTATGGAAACCCTATTGTGACGTAATCGGGTGCATGATTCTGGGAAATTTTGAATCATGGGATGCTTTGTAAGTGTTTTTGTGGTGTGTGTTAGTTTGATTCTTTAGATGGTAGAATGGCCGAATTAAGTAAGATTAATTTGAAGTTGCTGTACGATTTGGAGCGAAAGGGGAAAAGAGCTTTAATTGACTGGTGTGCAAATGAAGGTTTACTTAGTAGCCGTTATAAGTGTCCTATATGTAGGAAGGATATGCGTCTAGTCGACCGTAAAAACCGTTTAGATGCATTTGAATGGGTTTGCAGGAAGAAAGGTTCAGATGGTCACTACGTGAAGCTTTTGATCAGAAAGAGTACCTGGTTTTTTACGTGGCTCTGGGTGTACGAAGCGAATTCGAAAATCATGGTAAGTGAATATTTGCTTTTGGTAGTGCTTAAATGTATAACATGTTTTTCCTTTTTTATGTTATTTTATTGTTTGGTTTAAAATGTATTTTTATTGAGATTATGTATTTTTGTTTGCTTATATTGTAGAATTTGATGCTCCTTTGACTTTTTAAGTGAAAATATATCGATGTGTACATGGACAAAGTAAAGGGAGTGCGCAATGGAAGTTTGTGCAATTCTGGGATTTTTTTTTAAGTGAAAATAGGTCGATGTGTACATGGATAAAGTTTAAAGAGTGCGCAATGCCATTTTTGTGCAATTCGTGGATTTTTGTAAAAAGCGAAAATAGGTCGACCTGTACATGGATAAAGTCAAAGGAGTGAGCAAAGCCATTTTTGTGCAATTCGAGGATTTTTTTTAAGTGAAAGTAAGTTGACGTGTACATGGATACCGAGTTTGTGCAATTGTTGGTCTTGTTATTTTGGCTCTGTGTAGGGGCAATTTTTGGAGCAAAAATCGCCGCTTCGGAAGCCAAAATAACGAGTCAAAGAATTGCTAAAAATCGGTATCCATGTTTCGCCAAGGGGTACCCTAAACTATACTTTTACCGCCATAATTAAACTGACAGTGCTCACAGTGTTCTGTAGCGCGATCTATTTGCGAGAATGACGCCACATTTTGTAGGAAGATTGAACAAGACGGGGGACGAAGGATTCTGCGAAAAAACAAATTAGTTCCAAAAGTCACCGCTAGGGGAATATTTGGCGCTGTGTAATAGAAAATACAGTGTTAACAAATGCAAATTAATACGGAATACAATTACCTTTTATTATGCACATTTTCTGATTTAGTTCAAGAGCAATATGGCAACACTTTTAAAAAAGTGTAAAATCTACATAAACACCAATAAAGTCTCGTGATCTGCAATATCACATACGCTGAGCAGAAAAAGAAGTTCTTTATTCAAATTTCACATTACAGCCTATAGCTGCTTGAGTTTCAAAAGGCAATGTGTTACATTTTGAATCAATCGGACTGTAAGTTTATGTGCAATGTCTCCTTCTTTAGTCGAGCGCGCGTTACTAGTCAAATTCTTTTACCTCAACCAGTGCAACGCGTCAGCCGCTCTTCATGCTTTTAGAATGCACAAAAAAATGGGTGAAGGTAACGGTCCTGTGTCAGTTAATGAGCTAAAAGCAATGGTTGTGACATTTGAGAAAACAGGTTCTCTGAAGGTTCAGTCAGGCAGAGGACGAAAACCTGTACCACAGGATAAAATCAAAGCAATTGCCACAGCGATTGTCGACAGAGGACCAGACAATATTGCTGCCACCTCTAGCGCTCATGGAGTAGCTCGGAATACGGATATGCCTTATAGTATGGTATGAAAAATCTTAGGAAAGATTATCAACTTCTATCCGTACAAGATCAGCCATGTACAAAGTTACTGTACCCCGACCATGATAACTTTGCTCTCACCATTGACTTTTGCTCTCACCTTTCTTGCCAGAATGGAGGTGGATGATGCTTGACCATGGAAAATCTTATGGGGAGACGAGGCCCACTTTTACCTGAATGGAACTGTGAATACCCAGAACTGCCGATTTTGGGATGACAAATCACCACATGCAGACACAGCAATTCCCTTACATTCACCAAAGGTAACTGTTTGGTGTGGGTTCACAGCGGAATTTATCGTAGGTCCATTCTTCTATGAGAACATTACCCCGACAGGACCGGAAACCTGTTCTGTTACCGGAGAGAAATATCGCCACATGTTGAACAGCTTTGTCATTCCGGCACTTCAGCAAAGACAATGCCTGGGGAAATCATTTTCATGCAAGATGGAGCCCCTCCACACGTTGCTGTACGGGTGCAACAGATGCTACGACAGAAATTCACAACAGAAAGAGTCATTAGCCGCTACTTTCCAACTGCATGGCCACCTCGGTCGCCTGATCTTACCCCATGCGACTTCTGGCTATGGGGTTACCTTAAGTCCAAGGTCTATCAAGGAGTGGTCCAGGACCTGGCTACGTTGAAGGATAACATATCACGGACTGTACGGGAGATTCCTGCAGACATGTTACTTTCTGCTGTTGTGCATACTGTGCACAGAATGCAATATGTGGTCCACAACAACGGCAGCCACATTGAACCTCATTTGAATGCAAAATAAAAGGTAATTTCCGTATTGATTTGCATTTGTTAACACTCTATTTTCTATTACACAGCGCCAAATATTCCCCTAGCGGTGACTTTAGAAACTAATTTGTTTTTTCATGGAATCCTTCATCCCCATCTTGTTTGATCTTCCTACAAAATGTGGCATCATTCTCACAAATAGATCGCGCTACAGAACACTGTGAGCACTGTCAGTTTAATTATAGCCATCCGGTACATTAGAACTCTGCTTAATGTTGTTATTTGGATATTGTTATCGAATTGCTGAAGTCCCACCTGTTTATGTATGATAACATGAAAAATACATTACTTATTGTGATCAATTTAATCAGTTAATTAATTCAGTTAATATTACAAAGTGATATAGAAGAAATTTTTTTAAACTGAAGTAAACTTCAATGAAATTGTACTGCACTTTTTTGCAGACTTTTCAAATTTTGTTCACAATTAGGAATTTTTTCAGCACAATGGAAGAGGGCTCTGGTTGTTTTGATTCCTAAAATTTTAGATACAAGAATTCCTTATCTTGATATTAGATGCATTAGTCTTTTGCCTACTTTGGGAAAATGTCTTGAAACTCTTATTAGCAGAATAAATTAGTATTTGAGACAGAACTATTTTTATAATGATTCTCAGTTCGGGTTTAGTCCTCGGAAGTCCGCTGAGGTTGTTTGTCTTTGTAATATTTTGCAGTATGTAAAGAAAATGAAGTTTACAACTGTTCTTATTTTCCTGAATTTAAAGGGGCTTTTGATAATGCTTGGCGGCCATCTATCTTAAAAATTCTAAAAGATGCTGGTATGCACATAATATCTGTAACCTGCTCAAAAGCTTCTTAAAGGGGAGGGCCACTGAGCTTCAGCTTGGGACCGAAGCTAAGGCTTATTCCCTAGAAAAAGGCTGTCCTCAAGTCTCTGGACCTACTCTTTGGAACATGATGATAAATGATTTTTTAAGTCATCTCGACGATTGTTTAAAAATTGAATTTGTAGACGTTTTCATTTTAATCTAAGATCAAGCAATTTATGTGAATGCTCAAAAAGTTACCTCAGGATGTAGAACATTTGATTTTCTCATGCCCTACATTTGATGGTCCTAGATTATGCTTGAACATATTTTAATTGGTCCTAGAACGATTTGAACATGTTCGGAGTGACTTGGCCAGAGAAATTATCTGTTTTCCTGAAGTCCAGACTGCTGTTCTCTGCTTTCGTTCATTTTATTTATGCATGCAACTTTTAATGTTTTAGTTAACTTACTTTCTGTAAGGTCCGTGTCGTACATCTGTGCTGCACAGGGAGTCTGTATGTTTTCAAGTTTAAAAAATAAATAATAATAATAATAAAAAGAACCATTCAAATACAGTCAAAAGTCGTTAATTCGGACACCCATAATCCGGACCTCAAAGCTTCAAACTTTTCTGCGCATGCATCTTGTTGACGGCTGAGAATTTGCTTGTGCGCGTGCCCAAATACGTTTACGAGTGCGCGTTTAATATATAACGGACGGTATAAGCTAAGCTAAAATTATTTAATTATCTATTTCAGTTAATGTTGCAGACTGCGTTGTTCCTTAATCTTCGAATTGCATCCGGCTTATTATTTTTTGCAGACTGTTAGAGCAATTTTATAAAAGTAAGCTTGAACTTTCGATTATGTCAAATAGAATTTCTGATATATCTTTATTAATATGTAAATGATCTACAAAGCGAAAGTATGTTTCGAAGTTCATTAAACAAAAAGTGGAATTGCTACAAAAAATGGATAAAGGCATATCCTTTATTTATGTAAACTTTAACGTTTGTTTATCTAAACTTTGTTTATCTTTAACGCCGCGGCGCCGCGCAATGAATCGAAAGTTGATCTGTCAACACTATCCTTATCTTCAGGGCAGATGTTTTTATTTTATTTGGCTTATAATTCCTTATTAAATGTAGTATTTCATCTCAATGTACTCCATCTTTGATATGATTTAAATCAAATTCCTCGTCATTATAATTCGCTTTCGATAGCGAAGAAAGTGACAGAGGTTATTGAAAACGAAAAAATTTCAATTGACAAATTAGTCGGTATTCTCGACACAGCAATTATAGGACTTGAACAGCGGAACTTTGTAACTGAACAAGAAATTATGTCAGTTTAAAGAATTAAAGAGAATGTATTATCACATAAAAAACGAAGCAACTTAAACAACTTACATTGAAAGAAATGTTTAATAAAGTAAACAAATAAATATTAAGCTTTTTTTTTGTAAATTTTGATACCCTTTAGATCATAATTGTTCTTTAGTTCATAAATTACGGTTTCATATTTTTAATTTTATAATTTCTGCATGCCATCTTATCAGATTTAAACTGATGATCTATAATCCGGAAAAGTCGATAATCTGGAATCGCCGAAGTCCCGACGAGTCCGGATTAACGACTTTTGACTGTAGTATTTTTTTCACCTGCAGACATAACAATTTAAAATTATTATCAAGTTAAACTTTGGGAAATAATTTTGAAAAAAAGCAACTTACTCAAAAAGCTATAAAGTTTTAAAATTTCCCTATAAAGTAAAATTGTTTTTGAATACAATTTAAAAAAATTATCTTAACCCCTTATTAGATTTATTTAAAGTTGGGTGCTTAAAACAATATAAACTGAAAATTTAAATCAATTTCAGATTTTTAATTTATATACGATAAAAAAATAGTCGTTCAACTCAGTTGATTGTATTCAACAAAGAAATTTAAAAAATATCATACAATTTAATTACTTTACAAAGAGGAAATGCTTACATAAATGTAGAACTGATTACTTACGATCTTGATGTAAAATTCAAACTGATAAATTAACCTAAAAAATTATTTTCTTTTAAATAAAATATTACTTATAATAGGAAATACATATTACTATTCTAAATATTCATTAGTAAAAAATTCCTTGTGTTAAAATTTTCGTCTTCTTTATGTAGCCTAACTTTAAAATGTTCGAATTTGGTTCTTTTTGAGATGAGATTCAAAATATCAGTATGTTTAGTTGTTTGTCTCCTTCTCATTTCTCGCGTCACAATTTGGTAAAACTGCAGATTAGGACAACCAAGGAGATTCTTCTTTGACGACAACACAACATGAAAATTGAAGCATGTTACTAAATAATAAAATATTAAGTTATATTACTTAAGTTTCTTAATATTACTAAATAAGTTATATTCACTTATTTCAAACATTATATTTAATTTCTTCTGCTCTTGTTGAAAAGTAACTACAATTTAAAATTTAAATAATGTGATTATTTTTTTAAATATCGAACTTAAATAATTTGTATTTATTATTGTTTTTGGTATAAAGATGAAGTGTAAACTCATAATTACTCAAAATGTGAAGTCTCATAAAAGAAATATACATACGCAATATACATACGGCAACGTAAATCAATTTTGGCGTTTGTTTTGAAATGGTCAGAAGTCGTTTTCATTTTTTGAACGAGTCAAATTATATCCATATAAAAAAGCTGTAATTCATATATATAATTTGGTGAGTAAGCAGATTCAAATTTAAATCACAATATGTCAAACAAGTGGAAAATTTTTCTCTTTTAAATTTCTGAGTTTCATAAAATTTTTTCTCATGAATTTAGATTTCCCAAATGTAAAATACAATCATTCTTGAGAATTTTCTGAATTTCTTGAGAACATTGATTATTCCCACAACTGAATTTTTGAGTATAACTATTATTTGCACAGACATCAGAGAAAGGAACATTGTGTTAACCTGGATAATGGCAAAAAAGTCATGGGTGGCCAAGGGGGTTTGTTCTTTGGCAAAATATAAATGAAAAGAAAACCAGAGAGGGGCACTTTTTAAAAATACTCATTGCTACTATTTCAAAAAAAATCAAAATTTGATCTCTGTTGAATTGAAGTTGTCTAAACTCTTGATCCAAGTTTGAAACCAGGCAAATGGGCTGTTCACACATCTTTTTCCCCAATGTGTAACATGAATATGAGCTTTTTTACTTAACCTGTTCACTCCTAGTGTATCATATATAATACACTTCAATTTCCCTCCATGGACCCACCTTATGAAAGCAGTGTGGGTGTGAAATATCACTGGTGGCCCAATGTAGGATATATAATACACTGAAATGAAACATTTTATTTGAATTTACATGTATTTATCATCATTTACATGTGTTTATCATCTAAATACATGTAAATGATGTCAGAGTGCTGGGAAGCTTTAACTGGACTTAATCTCTTGAATGTTAGCCTTGTTATCATGAACATTATTTATTATTTTATTTTACGAATGCACGATGCTTACAACACATGTTCAGAATTTAGAAAAATTTCGCACAGTGCAAGCAGCTGAAAGTTTTTTTTATGTAAATAAGATAATAGGATGTAATAGGTACTGATATTTTTAAATGCTGAAGGTTTTTTGCTTCGTTATTACATGGAAATAATTTAAATATGAAAATAATGCCATTATAACCATAAAAACCTGTGTAATTTAATGCCAGTACATAATGATAAAAGTTTGTTTTGAATCTATATAAACTTGATTAGTTTTTGTTAAGTTGCGGCTAATCTTTGGAATATGGTAACAGGCAGTTTGGCGACATTTTGATAGGCGATAAAGGTTACTAGCTAGGACTTTAGCAATAACCTGAGAAGTACACAGTTCCAATTACAGATTATTTTGTCTAAGAGAAATCAGAGATCATGAGATATGTCATGTGATATTTATGGACAAATCACAGTTCTTTAATCCAAAAAGGGGGGAAATTTGCAAAAATATCTACAGTACTTTATACAATTTTGTATGTTTAGCTTAATTCCATCTTGTGTGAAACAAGTGTTGCTTAATATTTGGATCCAATGGCCTTATCTAAAGTAAATTCCAAATTTTTATTGCATTTATCTGATCATCCAAAAGAGTTGCTTGAATGGTGTAGGATTAATTGCAGATAAGTATGAATGTCCAGCATGTGAGAATGAAATGAGATTGTGTGAAAGGAAGGATATTACAGATAAGTTTGTATGGTGGTGCAAGAAATCTGGTGAAATTAGGCTAGCAGATTGTTGGAAAAAATGTTGAGAAAAAAAAAAAAAAAAGAAAGAAACATGTACCACAATCCAAAGATTAACATAGGCTGCTTTCATTTTTGCGAAGAAGGATATAAATTCTGTTTTTTTTCCCTTGCATTTCAAAAAAAATATTAATATTTGGGTCAACAGGAAATGTTTTTGAAGTTACAGATTCCAGGGATAAAAAATGCCACAATACACGATTTTGAAAATGGATAAAAAAATGGTGATGTAATATGAAATATTATGAGCTATTTAAATCTTTTCTGTGTTAGGTCTGCTACTTGTATCTCTTCATTATCCAATTTAAAAAAAAACCTGAGTCGAATGAAACCAACCAAGATATCGAAATTATTGACAAATCCATTAGCAAGAAAATTTGTACTGATGCAAATGCCAAAGAAACTACTGATTGTCCGCGCTTTGTTGTTGTTTCCAGTACCTATGGAGAATTGAAAAAGATGTTTTCTTTCCTGGTAAGCAAATACATTCATTCATGCATAGGTGAGCCAAGGAACATAAAGTGTCTCCATTCTGGAGACCTGCTTATATTGTTTCGGCCACCCAGTCTGCTCCACTTTTACGTCTAACCAAACTTAGACAGGTATCTATAACTGTGTCAGCGCACAAAACACTTAATTCTTCTAGGTGTGATCTCGGAGATCTTCTTTCTGTGTGTTTTAGAAGAAGAGTTCCTCTCAGAGTTAGCTGACCAAAATGTCTGTGGTGCTAGGCGCATCAAGATGCGAAAGGAAGGACAGTTGATTGACACGAAACACATGATCCTGGCCTTCAAATCGCCTGATCTGCCAAAGAATATAAAGGCTGGGTATCTAAACTGCCCTGTAAGACCATATATTTAAAACCCAATGCGATGCTTCCAACGCTAGCGGTTTGGTCACTCTAAGACATTGTGTCATGGCAACCTGACGCATGCTCGATGCTCGTTGGTTGGTCACGATAGTGATAATTGCACTGCTGCGGCATTGTGTATAAATTGCAAGGATGATAATCCAGCATTTTCTCGATCATGTCCAAAATGGAAAACAGAAAAAGAAGTACAGACGATAAAAGTCGCTAGGAACATCTCCTATGCTGAAGCCAGAATGCTGGTTCAAAGTGCACAGCTTCAACCAAATATATCATATGCTAGTGTTAAACTTCAATAAATGTACAGACTCCCCCAAATAAAACGCATCAGATTGCAAGAAAAAGGAAACCCCAACTATGTCCTAAAATATATATATATATAGATATATATATATATCAATCCAGAGTAAACCCAAAAATGTCCCTCCAAAAAATGTTAACAAAAATAGAAGCCTTAGCAATAGCTCATTTGATGATATGGTATCTGAATCTAGGGGCTAGATGTTCCCAAGCATCTACTTCCATGAAAAACAAAACAGCAGCACAGAAAGAACAAACGTAAATCATAATGGCCACTCTTCTGTCATGGAACTGTTGTGGCTTCCAGCGAAATTTGCTTGACATCAAAAGTATAGTCAATATTCATCACCCTGTGTGATTAACAATACAGGAGACAAACAGGAACAAGAAGCAAAACTTCGGAGGTTTTCGTTCGTCAGGGAAGATAACCTTGCAGGTGAGCGTGCCAGTGGAGGTGTAGGTCTCCTCACCTCACTGGATTATCCCTCAAATGTGCTTTCTTTGACGACATCCCTCCAAGTTGTCGCTACTCAAACAAATTTTGATATTGTTGTTTACAGTCGTTTCTTTGTATTTGCCTCCAAATGAGCATATTGATCAGCAAGATTTTAAATGGTCTTTTAGAGCAGCTGCCTGAGCCCTTTCATCATAATAGGAGATTTTAACGGCCATAGTCCGCTCTGGGGTAGTAAAGATACAAATTGCCGAGGAAGACAAATTGAGCAGATGATCGAAGATAGCCTTTGTCTCCTGAATAATGGGCAAGGATACTTACTTCCATGAGCCTTCAAGGACATTCCACGCTCTCGACCTTGCCATCTGTTCACCATCTCTGTTGCCATTTTGCACTTTTAATGTGGGAAATGATCTTTACAACAGCGATCATTATCCCATTTTTGTGTCTCTTGCACGAAGAGGAGCAAACCCCATGTCGAGATCCCCTCGATTTATACTGGACAGGGCAGACTGGGAACTCTTCTCTTCCATTGCAGAGCTCACAGATGAAATGGTAGAAGATGCGCATATCGATGATGCTGTTGACGCTGTTACAAATAGTATTATTCAGGCAGCTATGCTTTCGATTCCTAGAACATCAGGAAAATACTTAAATATTCGAAACCATGGTGGAATCGCGACTGTCATGAAGCACTGAAAAAACAGAAAAAAGCATGGGGTATTTTTCGTAGATATCCTACTCTGCGAAACCTCATAGCATTTAAAAGAGCCAAAGCAAATGCACGAAAAGTAAGAAGGCAGAGCCAGAGGGATTCCTGGATTTCATATGTGTCCTCAATAACATCCTCAACACCTAGTAAGCGGGTTTGGGAAAGAGTTCGAAAAAGCATGCGGAATATATAAAGACCACTCACTTTCCTTTTTGGAAAAAGATGGCCGAGTGATTAGCTCCATAGAAGAAATTGCGAATACTATTGGTGAGACATTTGCTGCCGTTTCGTTTCTTCCAGCAGAAACTATTCACCTGCATTTCTTCTCTATCAAGCAGCACTCTGAAATAAATCCCATCGCATTCAACTCTTCCAAATCTGAGCCTTACAATAGACTTTACTATGTTTGAATTAAGGAGAGCTTTGTTGCAGACACATAGGTCTTCTCCGGGTCTTGATGGCATGAATTATGAAATGTTAAAGCATCTGTCCTATAAGTCACTGAATGCCCTTCTCACTCTTTACAATAGGGGGTGGAAGGAGCATATTTTCCTCAGTGCATGGAGGAGAGCTGTTGTAATTCCTATTGCTAAGCCAGGGAAAGATCCAAGGAATCCCTCGAACTGTCAGCCAATTGCCCTTAGAGTTGCCTCTGCAAACTGTTTGAAAAGATGGTAAACAGCCCTTGTCTACTTGAAAAGAATAATATTATCATCAATTTTTTAATCCGGACTCGTAGACTTGGCGATCCAGTTATCGGTTTTCTTGATTATAGTCATCAGTTTGAATAGGTATGAGGATCAAAATTAATAAAATATGAAAATGTAATTTATGAAATAAAGAGCAATTTGATCTAAAGGGTATCAAATTTACAAACGAAAGCTTAATAGTTATTTGTTTACTTTATTAAACATTTCTTTCAACGCACGCATGCGTAAAGCATACATTACGCATAGTCGAAATTAGAAAATTGCAACCAGAAAACTATTTGATGTGTACTCGTGATATTTATAATGATGAGGAATTTGATTTAAATAATATCAAAGATGGATACATTGAGATGAAATACTACATTTAGTAAGGAATTATAAACTAAATAAAGTAAAAACATCTACCCTGAAGATAAGGATAGTGCTGACAGATCAACTTCCAGTTCATTGTGCACCGCAAGGGCCCCCGCCCTTGCAGAGCAGCGTGAAATTGATAAACAGATTTCGGAATGGTTAGAGAAACAAAGGATATGCCTTTTTTTAAACAAAGGATATTTTTTTGCAGCAATTCCACTTTTTGTTTGATGGACATCGAAACATACTTTCCCTTTGGCAACTCCAGCATCGGAAATTCAGTTTGACATAATCGAAAGTTCAAGCTTACTTTTATGAAATTACTCTAACAATAAAATAATAAGTCTAACAGTCTGCAAAAAATAATAAGCCGGATTGAATTTGAAGATTAAGCAACAACGCAATCTGCAACATTAACTGAAATAGATAATTAGATAATTTTAGCTTAGCTTATACCATCTGTTGTACATTAAATGCACATGCATAAACGTATTATGCGCACACGCATATGCGCATGTGTAAAAGTATTATGTGCATGCGTGAACGTATTATGCGTTGATGCATGCGCAGAAAGTTTGTAGCTTTGAGGTCCGGATTATAGATCATTCCGGATTAACGACTTTTGACTGTATCACCTTACCAAAGCGGTTTTCGAAAGGGGAGAACAACCATAGATAACATGCTCCTTTTATAGACATCCATTCGAAAAGCTTTTGTAAGAAGAATTCACCTTGTATCCGTATTCTTTGACATTGAGAAAGCTTATGAGAATGCATGGAGATAGGGTATACTTTGAGATCTTCATCACAGTGGCTTGTGCGCAACCTACTAATTTTTATTCGGAATTTCTTGAACCCTACAACTTTTCAAGTAAGGATTGGTTCTGTTTTGTCGGATATTTTCAAACAGGAAGAGGGTGTGCCTCAAGGCTGTGCACTTAGTGTAACCCTGTTCAGCTTAAAAATAAACTCTGTATTAAAAGAACTTCCTCCTACCATCTTGGTATCCATCTTGGATGATCTACAGATTAGCTATCGAGGGGCAGACTTGAGATACATAGAAAGGCAATTTCAAATCGCTCTGAATAAGATCCAAGAATGGTCAGACAAAGAGGGATTTATATTTTCCAAACAGAAAACTTGATGCATGCACTTTTGTAGGAAGTGAGGTCTCCATCCTAAGCCTGAGTTATATCTGAATGGTACAATTATTCCAGTTGCACCTGAAGTAAAATTTTTAGGAGTGACGTTCGACAGAAAATTGACTTTCCTTTCTCATATTTTAAACCTGAGAAAAAAGTGTTTAAAAACACTAAATATTTTAAAAGTCTTGGGGTGCAGAGCGTTGCTCTATGCTTCGCATTTACAGATGCTTGTCTGCTCTAGACTGGACTATGGCTCAGTTATTTATGGATTTGCTCGGTCATCAGTATTGATAAAACTAGATCCTGTTCACCATCAAGCTCTGCGGATTTGTTCTGGAGCTTTCAAGACATCTCCTGTCCAGTGATGGTATGTTGATTCTAACAAACCATCACTTTATCTGAGGCGTGAGCAGTTGTCCCTTTTGGAGTATTTTAATATTTTATCGCAACCTGAACATCCTAATAAGCTGTGTTTACTTGATAATGTGTATAGCACTTTATTTGAAACACATCCATCCTGTGTGCTTACCTTTCCTGTAAGAGTTTGCCCTATCATTGAGAAACTCTCCCTCTCTGATATGTGCCCCAAGCAGTGCAGGATTTAGAAATCCCACCTTGGAAAAATGCACGGATCCAGCTTCTTAATGTTTTCAACCATCATGTGAAGGCAAGCACGAACGACATCGTTTACAGATAACTCTTTGCTGAACACAGGCATAAATATAGCAGTTATCTTCCACTATATATACACATGGATTCAAGTCAGATCATGTCGGGATGGCATTTGTAACTGAGGATCACATGGAGAGCAGACGCTTGACTTGGAAACCATGCTTTCTCTGTTTTAACATCTGAACTAACTGCAATATATTGTAGTCTTTTTTACATCTCAAAGCTCTGCCACAAGAAGTTCATAGTTTATACAGACTCCTATAGTGCGCTTAAATCATTAGAAGCTTTTCGCAACACTCAAAATCCAGTAATAGTGGATGTTCTCAAGATTCATATAAACTTAATGAGTCGTGGATATGAAATTCTGTACTGCTGGGTTCCTGGGTATGCAGGAATAAAGGGGATAGAGCTGGCAACTATCACAGCGAGATGTGCTGTTGAACTGTCCAGTTGCCTCATCTCTTTTAGAGACATCTGTTGTGTTGTCAAAGATAAAAAAAAAAAAAAAAAAAAAAATGGCAGCAACCTTGGGATGTTCAGCTTCAAAACAAGTTGAGAAATGTAAAGCTTAGAATTGAGCATTGGGATTTTACTAGAAATCGTAAGGAGGAAGTTCTTTTGACTCGCCTCAGAATTGGTCACACTAGAGTGACACATAACTACCTCTTGAAAGCTGAGAAAGAGCCTGTTTGTTCAAATTGTAACCTCTCGACCGTTTAATCAGAAGAGAGGTCATTTATAATTTATTTTATTATTTAAAAGACTGACTTTTATTACTTAATCTATCTGTTTTGAAAGATTGTGTATGGTATTTTAATGTGCACTTTTATGACTTCATCCTCTGGATTTGGTACATTTGTCCACCTTTTTTACTAAGAAATTGTTTTTATTTCATCAAATTAGATCATCCTACCTCATGTTTGGTGCATTATAATCATCTTTGGTTTTGTGCCAAAAATCTCACTCAGCCCTTACCATCAACCTCTCAAGAAGACTTTCGGCTTGCTGCATATTTAAAATTCCCCCCACACCACAGAGATGCTATACATTTACAAACATCCATGCCTTCTCTGAGATTTGAACCTGGGCCCATCTTTATGGCAGGAAGCGTTGCTAACCACCATTTCAGTTAGGCAGCAGCAAAAGGTATTTATGTGGCAACCCAGGTATGTGCACAGCAGGTCTGTTTTCTCAGTGTGCAGTGCAGAATTTCACAGACGTCGAGTGTTTGCAATTCTTTTTTTTTTTTTTCTTTTTTTTCTTTTTTTTTTTTTAAGTGGAAACAGATCACTGTGTACACAAGTAAAACAATATTTTTAAAAATAAGGATTTCTCAAAAAAGAGAATGGCTTTCTGGTGCTTAGGGCTCTTCCGTTTCGAAAATGGCTGTTGCCTTTTGCACATGAGCTTGCAAGAATTACTTCCCAACAAGTTCACAACATTTTGGTGGAGATGCAGGTAATAAGAAAGTACCAAAAAAATTATCCTGTTTGCCTGCCTAACCACACTAGCGAGAGCAGTTTGGCTGAAAGCAAAGATGGGTCAGTTTAACTGAAGGAGTGTGGGTGAAAAGCTTGGGTATTTTTCCCTCTCTGAGGTCGAAGGGGTGTGGGTGAAAAAGCGTGAGTATTTTTTCCTCTCGGAGGTCATTTAGTGCTTTTTCTTACAATACTGCACTCACCCCTACATCACTGATAGATATGCCCACTTCCGCCCCAAACCGAGTGTTTACATAAATCTGGAATACGTGGTCAGACAGTACAAATCTAAAAAAAAAATACATTTAGCTTGAAACAATTGTACTCCAACTTTCTTGGATGTTTTTATTTATTATAATATCAAATATTTTAAAATTAATTTTGAAGTATTTTTGTTGTAATAATGATTAATACATCATGTAATAAATCAGGGTTATATTGCTTAGTAATTACTGTTTTTAGTACGTTTTTGCACAGTTTTTTTAAAATATGCGTTATGAGAAACATTTATATTTTATATCTGGCACTTTTCCCCCCTCCAGAAATGTCAGCAGATGAAGGAAATGAAAGCATAAGCAGGAACTCAAGCTGGAAAAATAAATGTATAGCTTTAATATCACAGCTCGAAACAAAAAGTTGTACACCTGGTAAGTTTGTATAATTTACTTTATATTCATCGAAAATGCAGAACTTTAAGTATGCAAGAAAAATTTAAAAATTTTATGTATGTAAATGCTTGAAAGAAAATGTGTTTATACTAATTCTTGATCAGAAAATATTGACCTACAGGTTTCATTTTCACTACATAATGAATTTTCCTTTCATTACTTCATAAAATTTTTACTAGTAATACTTATTTATTGTTTAAATCAGCAGTTCCCAAACTTTTTGGCCTTTCTAAAATCAATTTCTATGGCAGAGGCTCTTATTCTCAAAGTTAATGGCATTTAGTAGTGTAATGAGGGGATGGATTATTAAGCAAATGTAAAAAGATATTCAAACAATTGCACAATGTTGATAATTGAAAGTTAGTTTTTAAAACTTTGAAATTTAACATAATATTTCACTTTATCCTTAGTTACCATAGGATACATCAAAAGTTAGCCATGCATAAAAGCTCAACTAAGACCAACAATAAGAAATTTTTCATGCAATAAACTGTTTCTTGCAATTTACTCATTATATCCACTTTAATTCAAATATACAGGGTGTTTCAATACTATAGTTTTAAATTTATAGGAGGGTTGAATGCTTGCACCCAGACAACTCAGAATCATAGAGTGATGGAGGTTTGGAAATGCTTTCCTGGTGCTACAGGTAATGTTGGTTCACGCATTCTCACAGAGAAGCTCCATTTTACACAAAGGCAGATGGATGGGTGATCACGTTAATGGTAATTAACCGATATCCATCTGTTACATGGATTGTAGAGTGTAAAGAAGTTATCACAGTTGGCTACAGTCCCTTCTAGATGGGACTTTTCTGAGAAATGAGATTCTGGTAGCACTGGTTAAAAGAGCCCCGCCTAGCTATGGAAACTATGTTGCGGGACTTTTTCAAACCTCACTGAAAATGTCGCAGCTGGACCTCTGTCCCAGGTAGAGACAACCAATCAGATGAAAGTTCTGCTTCTGAAGCATCACGTGATCCCAATCTTGAGTGATAATCAATTAGTGTTTGGCATTAAAGTCTCTGTAGTAAATGGAAACAGTAACCTAGCTATATGTGTTTCTTGGAATTGTGCAGGTTCTGAGAATTGTCCCTTTCGATGCCAAGTCCCACATAGCCGAAGCATAATGTGATTGAGGTTTAATGGGTAAGCTACTAAGTAGTTGAAAGAGAAATATTGTCTGAAGAGGCATACTCCTGATCATAAATGTTTTGCAAGAGGCTAGCTGAAAAGGGAGAGAGCTGACATGATTCAGGAACAATTGACATGGATTCTGGATATTGAAGAGACTGTGTTACGTCAAGTACAGGATGCTCCAAGAGCTATAGCACACAAAGTCAAGGTTTCTTGCTGTAAGGTTGATGATTTTTAAAGAAAATGAAATGCTCTCATATCACATGAAACACTTTCCAAGCACTTCAGTTGGATCTTTATGCACTTCAGTTTGCTTTTGCACATGATTTCTGCAACAATGTGCTATAGATCCCCTTCTCTCCGCTTCTGTCTTATTCACCAATGAATCGTGCTTCACAAGGAAAGTTATCTTCGATTCATATAACATCCATATGTGCGTAGTGACAAACCTTCATGTGATGTGAAGTTGTGCATCACGGAGCTGTTTTGCAGGAAGCGTTTTCGGGAAGCATTTGTGGGTGATTATTTCATTGGACCTCACTTGTTACCTTTTTATCTGACTGATAGCTAATATTTCTGGAGCAGGTTTGTTGTGGCAAAGAGCTTTTGCACTGTTACCATTTTCATTATGATTTCAGAAATAGGAATTCATTTCAGCCATAACGTTTGTAATCATTTAGATATTACATTTGGCCAGTAGTGGATAGGAGATGTTTTTTCCAGTGCGGTGGCTTGCTTGATAGCCATCCCTATTCCTCCTACAAATTTGTAACCCTGGTGTTGAGAGAGCTTGTATATTCATTTATTACTTTATCAAAAATTTTGCTGTTTGTTGGAGAAGGACAGTTCCTATTTAATTTTGTTAATTGTCATGAAACTTTCATTTAATTTTTCTTAGTAGCTGTTAAACTCCAAAGTGCACAGAGAGTGCTGTACAGAGGAAAATTCAGGAATGACTGGTTTCCTGACTATGATTAATGGTTTATTATTGTTTAAAATATTATATTCCTTAAATGAAAGGGGCCATGACTTCTGTACTGCCATGTCACTTTTTAGTGATTACTGTTATAAAAAGTGCAAAAAACAGATGTGGTCAAAGCAAGCAGCTTAAGCATAATAGCTCTTTGAAATTTTTATGATATGCTATATTGCATGAAAATCTGAACTTCTGTTCCTGATGGATTTGTCTAAATGTGCACAGAGAACAGTGATTCAGTTTCTAATAATGGAAGCTATAATTTTTATTAGTATTTAATAGTATTTGCAGGACATATACATTGAAAACATGCATATCAAAATGTATTGTGCTTCCAAAAAAAGTGGCAAATGCCCCAAAGCTGTCAAGCTCACTATATTGAAAATGATAAAAGAACAAACAGTCATAACCGCTGATAATAAAAAGAAATTACAATTTATACAGTAAAGATTGTAAATAAAAATATAAAGCACGTTGTCTTTTTTTATAATCTCCTGTTCTTTCTTAAGAGGGGAAAATATTTATAATGGAATAAAAATAGATTTCTAAAATAAAGTCATTTACAATTTAGAAATGGTTTTTGAATAAAATATTTAGTGTATACTGAGATGGCCAAAGCACCACAAAAAGAATATCTTCACGTTTAGACACTATACCCCTTCCCACCCCCAAAGCTTTTACATAATAAAATTTTAATGGACATGTAAAAAAGAAAAGAAATATTTCATTTCCAAAAATATAAATTCTACTTTAAAAAAAATTGTCATTTATTTTTTAGATGATCATAAATCAGCAATAGCAAGTATCTTACCGCTGACAGGAATGTGATTTCTGAAGTAGTGAGCCACTAGCCATTGCAAAGACCTGTAATTTTTTTGTCAGGTTGTCACATTGCATTTCTTGTGGTGGTCATAATTTCATTTTATATGCATTTGTAGAAATGTGGATCAAGGTTAAAGTATGCCTTTCTTGTAAGAATGCAGTAGCTTCATTTTCATTTGATAGTAAAATGGAAGGGGGGAAACTTATAATTTTTAATCTCTCTTTTAAAAAAATTACAATTTTCATTAATTAGTTTTGGTTTTGGGTTAACCCGTAACTGGGGAGGTGCGGTCTGAAAGACCGCTACAGCTGTTGTTCCTATCACCCCTATTATATATTTAATCTGATTGAGTGGATTTTCCTGCTAGCTTCTCCTTTTGTGACCTTGATAATTTTCACCCATTGGCTAACATTTTATGCACCTGCTTCATTGTGAAATTCTAATCCTTTGTCTGAGAACGGTATGTCAGACTGCACCTCCCCCTCAGTGTTACGATTTCTGTCCTAGGTGGAAACATGGCTCTGAGGCTCGGTCCGAGAAATATCGTATATCCTTCTGATTCGCGTAATGCAGAAGAGCTGCAAAGAATTCTTGATGAAGTGGGAAGTGAATTTAGCGATGAAGATGAATGCTAAGAAGATTTTGCAAAGAAAAGTTCGCATTCCACAACATCAGAATTTTCTGAATCTGAAAATGAATGCACTGAACCAGAAGCTGAATCCATTTCATCTACAAAATATTATTATGGGAGAAACCGCTTCAAGTGGTCATCTATTGAACCTCAACGAAATGTGAGAACTCCCGCGCATAATATAGTTCATCTTCCAGGATTAAGAGCATATGGAATATTGGGTGAAAATGCGGATCCTAAAAGTGTTTGGAAATACTCCTTTTCACAAACGAAGTATTAGAGATTATTGTTAAATGGACAAATGTGAAAATAGAAATAAATAGACACAAATTTTCTGATACATTGAAAAGTGAAATTGCAAACACAAGCATCGAAGAATTAAGAGCTCTTGTAGGTTTGCTTATATTTACATCTGTCTTCAAAGCTAACCATGAAGATATTGAATGTTTTTTTTGCTATGGATGGTACTGGTTGCAACATTTTTCGTGCAGTTATGTCAATCACGCGATTTAAGTTCTTACTTCTAAATTTGCGATTTGATAATCCTAATGATAGAGAGGCTCGAAAAAAATCTGATCCCGCAGCTCTTATTTCCGAAGTGCTAAACTCATTTATTTTGAATTGTCAGAAAGCTTATACTATAGGCACTTGTGTTTGCAGAGATGAAATGCTTATTGGCTTCAGAGGCAGATGTCGCCTTAAAATGTATATGCTAAAAAAATAACCGCCGAAATATAGACTGAAAGTAATGTGCCTAACTGACGGGTGCACTAACTACTTATACAATGCATATTTATATTGTGAAAAAGATTCTGATAGTATTGCCATGGAAGATAAATTGAAAAAATTCAGCAAACCAATTCAAGCTGTTTTATGATTGAGTAAACCAATCTATAAGACAAACAGAAACGTAATGGCAGATAACTGGTTCTCTTTCATCGAACTTATTTCAGAATTAAAGAGAAATGGATTAACATATGTTGGCACTGTCAAGAAAAACAAAAGAGATATTCCCAGAGAGTTCCTTCCAAATAAATCAAGAAAAGAGAAGTCGACATTATACAGCTTCACAAAGGATTTTACATCGATTTCTTATGTACCGAGAAAACGGAAAGCTGTTGTTCTCGTGTCATCCATGCATCATTCTAAAGAAATTGACTCTGAAACACAAAAGCCAGAAATAATAGCTTTTTGCAACAGAACCAAAAGTGGTGTTAATTCGCTGGATGAAAAATGCTCTGTGTATTCCTACAACAGACGAAAACGCGCTGGCCTATGGCTGTTTTTTTATAGATTATTAGATTTGAGCACAGTAAACTCATATATTTTATATCAAAGTTGCTCCAAAAACCCAGTTATGACTAAAATACAGTTTTTAAAAGCCTTAGCAAGAGATTTAATCCTTCCTCAAAT